TGTGTGTGTGTGTGTGTGTGTGTGTGTGTGTGTGTGTGTGTGTGTAGTCCTCATAAAGTTAGCAAGACATGTATGTGTGTTCCTCTGACAGTTTCCTGTAGGCATGTTTTTGAAAACAAAATGCTGGGATATTAAAACATGTTTATTTAATCTGATTAAATTACAAATCAAGCAGAATATGTAGCTCTAGATAAAAAAATCTTGAACATGTTTGTTAAGAAATGGCTGAAAAATGAAATCCTGTGTGGCAGCACTTCACTCAGCCTACACCAGACTAAGGTTCAGTTAATAAATGTTTCTTTTTATTTAAATTGAAACTATCATGTTATTTTTTTATCATGTCAAAGAAGGAAGAAAAAGGAGGATCAGCTTCAAGAATTGGCCCAACAAAAATAAATGTCAGCACGTTTCAGAGCATCGGTTAGACCAGGGGTCCTGGTCCTGGAGGTCCGCAGCCCTACATGTTTTACATGTTTCCTGCTCCAAAACACCTGATTCAGTCACTGAACTACCTCTTCATGTTCTGCAGTACGGAGGACCGACACTGATATAATTAGAAATAAAAGCAGAAATAAATAAATGAACCACTAAATAAATAAATAAATTAAAAAGGAGAACTTTACCTAAAGTTTTATAATTTAATTGACTTTCATATTTTTCCTGCTTTGTTCCAATAAATTATATATTTTAAGAAATTTTTGTTTTTTAAATAAATATTTCTATATAATTTTTCCTCTTTTTTGTACATGCATTTGTGTCTCTTCAATGCTTAAATTTAATTATTTATATATATATTTTTTTCAAAATAAATGCACAGGTAATGTTTTCCTCTTTGCCTTTGTTTTAAACTAAACTTTAAACTTTTAGCTAAACTGAAGGTGAGAACATACTCGCTCCGACGCCGACGGGTCGACGCGCGGTCACGTGGTTGTTCAGCAGTCGTTTTTGCACAGACCTTTCATAGTCCCTACGACACCCCCGCGCCGAAGTCGGGAAACCCCCCCCTCCCTGAAACATACGTCACTGCATGGAGTTCCTCCGCAACAGCCGATAATGCAGGAAAAAAAGTCAGATTTGTCACTCACCTGACGTATTTATCCACACCTGTCCTGGTTAAAAGACTCCACAGTTTCAGATTCCTCCGTGTCTGTTTATCTGTTTATCTGTTATGTCTGTTTATCTGTTTATCTGTTAGGTCTGTTTATCTCCCTTCATGAGTTTTTCACGGTTTGACTATCTTTATAAAACTCTGCTTCCTGATCGGCTCGGGGAGCGAATCGGTTTTCTTTTTCCCTTTTTTTTTAACCGAGTGGTTGAAGTAAATGCAGCGCATAGCGCTGTCAGCACAAACGCATGAGTTTTTCTCAGTTTGTCTATCTTAAAACTGCTCAAAACAGTCTGCTCTAGTCAGAAACGAGTTTTTTGTTTTCCTCTTCTGCTGTGTCCGTCCGAGTGCTTTCAGTTCAGACCAATCACACATTACCGTCGACACGGGAGGGGGGTTCATAAAGTTCTGCCGGGGGCTTGTGCCAAAAGGGGCTGTCGACACGACGCTGTGAAGCCCGATGACGTAATTTTCGTCATTAAACTGCGACAACCCGTGCCGACGTCGGCAGTTCGCAGGGAGTATGTTTCCAGCTTGAGGCAGCAC